CAGAGACATAAAATAAAAAGAGTATCGATAAACTTTAAAATATACAGAGGAAAAATAAAAAGGGTCAGAGAAACAAGTCAATTTTGTTTAATATAACTTTTTTTTAAAGCAGTTGGGGTTAAGTGACTTGCCCAGGGTCACACAGCTAGTAAGTGTAAAGTGTTTGGTCTGAGTTCAGATTTGAACTCAGGTCCTCCTGACTTCAGGGTCAGTGCTCTATCCACTGCACCACCTAGCTGCCCCTATTTTTTTTTTAAGCCACACAAAAGAAGTTTCCCATCTCAGGTACAATCCTTTTTGTTTGTTTGTTTTCATGTATTTGCATAAGTTTGCTGCTGGTTAAGGTCATGATAAAAAAGAAAATATTCCAGAAAAAGCTAATAACCCACTCAACCTCCAATAAGAAGCTGTAGTGGTTCCCCAGGTCTTTCTGATAAAATAAAACATCTTCGTGCCATTGAAGGCTCTTTAATTCTGGTTCCAGACTCTCTTTCTAACCTGATGACATATTATTACTCCCCTCATCCACTCTGCATTCCAGCCAAAATGGCCCACTTGCTGCTCCATGGAATCTCCTGCCTCTGTGCCTTTGCCCAAGCTGTTCCTGATGCCTGGAATGCTTTTCCGACTCTTTTACCTCTTAGATCCCCTAGCTCCCTTCAGAGTTCAGCTCAAGTGCCACTTCCTTCAAGTGCCCTTTCATGATTACCCCATTTGTTAGTCCTACCCACTCCAAATAACCATGTATTTATACAATATATGCCCTGCATTTACTTATCTCTAATCATATTATTATATGAGGCAGCTAGATGGCTCAATAGATAGAGCACTGGTCCTGAAGTCAGGAAGACCCGAGTTCAAATTCGGCCTCAGACACTTACTAGCTGTGTGACCCTGGGCAAATTACTTAATCTTTGCCTTAATCCACTGTGGAAGGAAATGGCAAATTGCTCCAGTTATCTTTGCCAAGAAAATCTCATGGGCAGTATGATCATGAGATCAAGAAGAGCCAGACATGAATGAACAACGTAAACATGTATCCCCCTAAAATGTCATCTCTTTGAGGGCAGGGACTGTTTCATCTCCGCATTTGGATCTCCGATGCCTGGCACACAGTAGGTGCTTTTAAATGCTAGTTTGATTACAGAGATTCATAGAAACAGATTTGGAAGCAATCTCACACTCTTTCTAGTTCAACTCATGCCTGAAACAAGAATCCTTTTCCTACACCATCCCAAATGATCAGTTATCTGATCTCTTGTTTAAAAACACCCAGTTTTCAAGGATGGATTTGGGGTGTGATGGGGAGTGGAACCCAATGCTTTTTGAGGCAATGGATGTCCTATTCCACTTTGGGATAACTATTATTGTTAGAATGTTTTCGTTACATTACCCCTAAATCGGCCTTTCTGCAACCTCCACATAGTACTACTATTTCTGACCTCTGGGATCAGGCAAAACAAATTTAATTTGCCCTCTTGTATATGATACCCTTTCAAATACTCCAATCCAGTTATCCTGTCCCCTGCTCTAGGCTAAATGTCCCCAGTTTCTTCATATGATCTCCAGTAACTCCTGACCCCCTCTTTTCCCTTTCTACCATCCTACCTTTTTATTGTATGAGTGATGTCACATTGTCATTTTTTTATGTCATTTTGTTGGCCATTTACTTCCCTGAATGTAAGCTACTTTAGGGCAGGGACTGTTGTGTTTCTGTCTTTGAATCTCTAGCATTCAGCTTGTGCCTTGCACATAAGTGGTACTTACTAAAGCTTTTTAAATTAAATTTAAGGGTATTTTATGTTTTCCCCTCAGGGTTCTATGGAATATGATTATGCTACTTTCATTTCCCCAGGGAGACATAAGTTTCTATTAAAAAATTTTTAAAAAGTTTTAATTTCCAAAATCCTTTGTGGGTAGGAAGGAGGGAAAAGGGCCAGTTCCTTCATAAGAACTTCAAGAACTGGCTGAAAATTTCACATTCCCCTTTATCAGTGTTGGGGGAGTGCTCCACTACACCCCCATCCTTAACTGCTCCAGACCCAGGGAAGGAGGAAAAGTGGAGCAAAAGGTAAGGACCATTTCACCACCAAATCCCAATCTGTTTCCCTGATTGCTTCCCTGCTAATGAAAGTTTCACAGGCCCTTTCAGCCTCCACCTACTTGGTTCCCCACCTTGATCATAGAACCCAGAAGGAGTATGGTACCATGGAAAGGGCACTGGATCCCAGTTAGAATTCTGGATCTGGTGCTAAATATCTGTGTGATCTTGGGTGAGTCACTTAACCTCAGTTGCCTCATCTGTTAAATACGGGGTTAGGTTTAGATAACCTCTAAGGCCCCTTCCAACTCTACATGTATGGGACTATGGCTTAGAACTGGAAGAAACCTGAGCTCATTCAGCTCACCTCCTTCATTTTACAGATAAGGAAACTGAGGCCCTGAAGCCATATGACTCACTCTCAAAGTGATACAGCTAATACTTAGCAAAGCTAGGATTTGAACCCAGTATTACTGACCCCCATTTTCCCATTTTACCACCCTCTGCCTTTTTATTGTATGAATTATATCCTATGGTCATTTTTTTATGTTAGTTTGGACTAAGAGCCATTTACTTCATTGAATAAAGTTGTTTGGGTTTTTTTCTTTTAACCAGAGAAGTTAAATGCAGATGGATAAACCAAAGCCCCAAAATCTATCTACCTTCTGGAAAATGCTGAAACGCAAGAGCAGGAAACCTTGCCTAGACCTCACCTGGTCTGGTCACTGGCTTGCCACCAAAAAATAGTGACCGCCATAGAATACCTGAAGATTTCCTACCTCCCTCTATGGACCCAGAGCTACTAGGGTGTTGGCCCTCAACCTCAGGCTCAGCTGGTTCATATCATCTGGAAGCCCATGGGGGAGAGTTAGAGGTCTCAAGCCAAGCCTTCCTGAGATTTGCCTAAATGGGTAGCAGAAAAAGGGATGTGGTCAAATTAGTCTCCATTCCCTAAGCCCTCTGCCCTCCTGGTCTTTGTGTGATGGTGAGCAGGGCCTCTCAACTCTTGAATGATGGGGCCAGTCTGGAGTCTTGCAGAACAGGGCTTCCAATAGCACCAAATTAAAATTGGGATGGGTGAATATGTGACCCAACCAGGAGCCAACATACTGAGATGAGGGTCCCTACAGGAGCCTTCTATTAGGATCGAGGGCTCTTAAGTTCCTGTAGTCAAGTACGATGGATTCAAACTGATGACTCTGCTACTTATTATTACCTGTGACACCTTGGATGAGTCACTTATTGTCTCTAGGTCTCGATTTCTTTAAAAATTCGAGGGTTGGGCTAGATGATGTTAAGGTTTGCAAAGCACCTTATGTATATTCTCTCATTTGGTTCTCACAACAACCCTGAGAGGGAGGTGTTCTTTTTACCCCCATTATACAGATGAGGAAACTGAAGCTGAGAAAGGTCAAGTGACTTGCTCAGGGTCTCACACCTAGTAAGTGTCTGAACTCAGGTCTTGTTGACTCCAGCCTAGACCCACTATGCACTATGCCACTGAGCTTAGATCATTTCCAAGGTCTGTTCCAGGTCTGGTTTCTCCCAACATTCTTGTCTCCAGACCAGAAATGATTATGACAATGGCAGGCTAGGACCCTGTGGAAGTTAGAGCCACAATAGAATATTTAATGAATGGACAGGCTTCACCTCCCTAGCTTCTCAGACCTCAGAAAAATCGGATTTACAGTAGGAGCAAGGAGGCCCCTAGGAACGTTAGCTCCAGACTGCAGGGCTATCCGGCAGAGAGCAGAGGCAAGGATACCGTGGTACTGAAGCCAGAGGACCCCCAAAGTCTAGCAGGGCTGTGTATACTTGGTTATGTTCCCCTAGTATAGAGGCTCTAGAGAATGTCCACTCTTTTCTCTAGCTCAGGAAGTCAGTTCTCTAAAAACCATCTCAGCTAATGGACTATTGATAAATAATTAGCTTCTGTTGATTGCATTGATCTGGGTGGGCCCATCCTCATTAGCAGTTTCCCTGAGCATAGGCTGTTATTCCTGCCTTCTTTCTTCCACTTTCTTACCCAACAAGAAAAAGGAAATAGTTTAGAGGGACCAGATGTAATGTCAGGAAACAGTCCCTTCCCCTCCTTTGCTCTGGGGGCACACAAAGAGCACACAGCAAGTGGCTTCCACTGAATTGTACTCACACAACAGCCCTCATCCTCCTTAACAACCCTGGACCAGTTTATTTTGGGGGATGAGGGACATAGCCTCCCCCATCCTGCTCAGCCAAGCTTTTGTACTTCCTGGCTAGGTCTGAGGAAAGATTCATGAAATGGAGCCAGGGAAGTTCCCAGGGGACTCCTGTTTGTCAGTGGAAAATGCTGAGTTCACAGTCTTGGCCCTGGGGAGCTAGCTGTGGGCTATAGACACATTCCTGTCCATCCCTAATTTATCTTCAGTTTTTGTTGTCTTCCCCCACTCAGGACAGGGCAGAGCAAGGCTGAGGTCAGAACTGGACATATCAAGGCCCCTCCTTGCCATACTCCAGCTAGGTGGAGGGCCATGTTCCCTGCTTCGCATCTTTACTATAGTACCTGGCACTTCTCTAAGGAAAATGAGGTATGGAGCAGGTCAGGATCACACAGGGAGTAAGCCAGAGCTGCCATTCAAACCCAGGGTCTTTGCCTCCTTCCTCATGCCACTTAGCCTCTCCCTTCTCCTTAAACTCCAGACCTCAAGCTCTTGCCCTCCCTGTAGGCTGTATGTCACCCTCACAGCTTCATTCAGTCAAAGCAGTTCCAGGAGTAGAGGCCTTAGGGCATTCCTTGGAATCCTGCCCACAGGTACACTGGGCATCAAGTGCCCCTGGAAGGTGGTCATAGGCTGCATACCTCAGGTATCCTGGGCTAGACACATCTTTGAGCCAGACAGCCCCAGTCCTGGGTCAGACAGATGCCCCAGACAGGGCAGGGACCAGATAAGGCTAGGGACTGGAAGGAAACGACCTTTAGTACAAATATAGATCTTTTTTAATGAAACCAGAACAGACGGAGACTGGACAGACGGAGGGGTGTTAGAGGTGTGGGGCAGTGTCCAGTTCTGGTACAAGGCTCCCAGGGCTTTGTGGAGTTCAGGGATTCCTCAATAGAGGCAGGAACTCTGGGGAGAATGGGGCTTGGGGGACAAGAGGGCTTGTAAGCCCTTGCTTTGGAAAGGTCTCTGCAGCTGCCCCCCTGCAACTGGAGCCCCAGTTGGAGTTGTCCTTGGAAAGCTGAGGGGCTAAGGAGCCCCACAGAACTTGGGGATTCCTGCTTTCCCCACTAAGTGGATACCAAGGAGAGGGACATGGGACACAGGGATTCCCCTTCCCCCATGAGTGCTAGGAGCTTTGGAAGGTGTTCCTTCACACCCTTTCCTTGGATACAGGAAGGCAGGGAGAAAATGGGCAGCTCCTTTAGACCAGGACGACCCAGGGCCAAGTGGGGAAAAGGAAGGGCTGGACCCAAGGAAAGGAATTAGGTTTTTGTAGTCCCAGCCCCACCTTGGTGCTTTGCACACAGTAGGAGTTTAATCCAAACACTGGATTGAACTAGAATAGGTCTCAGGCTTCTCTCTGGGGTGGATTGTGAGGGCTAGGCTCTCTCCTTGAAGAGCTAAGCTAAGGGCCCCAGGATACAGGCAAGGGCCAGTGCTGCAGCCAACAGTGCTGGGGCTGGGGCAGGGGCAAGGGAGGCGGGAGATGAAGCCCCTTGCAGGGTTTCCTGGTTGGTCTCCTCACTGGCCACACCCCTGACGCTACTTGGGGGGAAGGGCTGAGAGCTACACAGGTCATGTAGGTTGCCTGGGTATTGGACCTTGCGGGATTCTTCCGTCAGTGACGCCCAGATGGCAGTTGCCTCTTGTGGGCAGTTGGCCAGGACCCCACTGGCACAGGTCTGAAAGTTTTCCCATGACCTGGAAGGAGATGAGGAGGATCAAGAGTAAGCCATGCCAGAAGGGCTGGGGGCGACAGTTACTATATTACACACTTGGCAGAGGGACAAACAGAAGTTAAGAGTCAGTTGGGGATGGGCGGAGGGGGAAGGGGTGAGGGTGGGGCTGAGGCTTGGGAATGGGGCAAGCACCTGAGGACAAAGTGAAGAATGGAGGATGGAGGTAGAGATGGAGTCAGCAGTGAGGGACCCTTGTCCAGAACCTTGGCTCTCACCTGCAGATGGATTCGAGTTCAGGGGGTGTGAGGTCAGCCCCCTTGTCAGTCTGCCCACTCTGGTCCATACTGTTCCCAAGGCTGATCAGACAGTCAGCAAAGCCCTTGTAAATAGTATCACATCTGTTAGGGGTGGCAGCAGTTCCAGGACCCGGGGCCAGGACTGTGGAAAGAGAAAGAAAAGACATTAAGCTGGGCACACACCCTTAACTCCTGGGGGAGACAACCCTGTTTACCAGAGCAACAGCTCGGCCCAAGGGATGCAACTCAGCTAGAGTCTGTGGCACTGTCACTGGTGACTTGCTGAGGGAAGTATTTTCACAAACCCCTGGGTCCCCCTCTCAATGCAACAAACACTTATTAATCACTTGCTATGTACCTTGTGCTGGGAGTGCTGGGATAGGTATGAAGATAAAATTGAGCAGCCTCTTCTTTTAAGGAGCTGACAAAGAAATGGTGAACCTTAGTGCAACATGTACACACATATACACACACACACATACACACACACACACACACACACACACAAGTAAAGCTCTGTGGAGGCAAAGCAGAGATACAACAAGCTGTAACAAAATTTTAGGGGGAAATCACTTTCAGTTGCAGGGTTCATGGGAACTTCACAGAGGCATCTCAACTGGCATCCAAAGGGAAAGGATTTCTGTAGGAGATGAGGTGGGAGTGGGTGTTAGGGAACTGGGGCAGCCTCCCACGAGGAGCCCCTAAAACCTACATGGGAGGCTGTGTAGACCATTCAGGCTGTGGGACTGAGGACTGCCTGGGAGAGTAAGAGGAAGGCCATTTCTTTGCTTCTCCACCTCTCAAGGTGGCAGACTCAGTTGATTTTCCAAATCAGGGGAGAGAGGGATGGCAAAAACAGTAGCAAGTCATCCTCCTGGCTCTTCTTACATCTGTTCCTGCTCCTTATACGAAGTCTGAGTTCTTCCCTCGCTAAGGGAACGTGGTCCTGAGGTCCAGATGGAGACTTAGGGGCAACTTCTGCCTAAGGAGTCAGTCTTCATCTGTTCCAGGGACACAGTTGTCCCACCCTTAGGCACCCATGCAATGGACTGGGACAGAACAGGATACCCCCTACATGGGCTGTCTCCAAGCAGGAGGTAGCCAGTTCCCCTTCTCCCAGCCTGAGTATTGATGACTTCTGGACAAAGAATATGGCCAAGGCTGGGAATAGAGAGAAGACCACAGCTTCCACAGAGGACCACAGACCTTATTCCTGAGCCCTTGTCTGAGCTCAGCCAGACCTCTCTCCCCCCTGCACTTCCTCCCACCCTTAATTTGGCCAGGATCATCTGGCTCGCTGGTTAGAGACTTAGGCTACAACTCTGCAGATCCCTCATTCCTGCCCTCTTCCATCAGAAAGGCTGGGTGGGGAAAAGACGGAGGACATTTCTTAAAGGGGATTGTCCAGCTGCACAGCAACCACTGAAGCTCCCCGGAGCGCAAGCTGGCTATACCCTTTTTTCTGAGTCTCCTAATCTAGAATATATTCCTGACCCTGCTCAGGAATACCATTACTGAACTCTTTGAGGCCACTGGGGGCTGAGCTGGGAAGGATCATCACGACCATCTGTGGCTAGGAATGGATGGAAGCCTGGGGTGCAGTTCACCACAAAACTTGCTTCCTGCCAAGCTTGGTCCCAGAGGAGAGATGAGGCCTACCTCCCTTATTGCTTTGCAGTAGCGGAAGACTGGGGGCCCTGAACATTGCATATACCATTGAGCTCCTTAATGTGCTGATTAGTTTTGAACTCTCTCCTTTACAAGGGAGAGATAACTGGGGCAGGGGAAAAGAGGGATATTTGCAAGTGAAGGTGATGCTAAAACGAAAGGTATTAATAACTATTAAAAAAAAAACTGCACTCCCTAACCCCTGGGGCTATTTCCTCCAACTCTATCCCTGTCCAAGCAACCATTCCGCAAAAGCTTCAATCCTCCCCTCTAACTCTCTTGTCTTCAGATTGCCAGTCAGTCTGAAGGGGGGAGGGGGAGAAGGGGGGGGAGGGAGAAACGTTGGAGAAAAGGTGAGGAAGTGTGCCTTTGGGCCTGGGTAATGGTAGTCAGGGAGGGTAGAGGCTCCTTCTGAACTAGAATGGCACCTTCCTCAATTCTAGGGCCCAGGCTCTAGACTGGGGAGCAGAGGGTGATGGTCATGGGTGGTGATGGAAGGTGTTGAAAACTGGTATAAGGCCGTGGCAAAAAAGGAGACCCAGGATCCCCAGGATCTCCTTCCCTCGAACACCTTTTAAGCAGTCCCTTCTCCCTGAGACATACCCCAATGAGATCCCTGAACTTTGGCAGGGAGGGGATAGGGCAGCGACTACCTGGGGAACTGTAAAGGCAGAGTCGGTGGGATACAAGGTCATGGGACCAGAGATGTAGAGCTGGAAGAAACTTCCAAAGAGGTTGTGACTTTCCCAACATCACAAGGTGGCATATTTGGGATTTAAATTCCATTCCAGCATTCTTTTCAAAATGTGACCAGGAAATTTTCTGGGCAGGGTATACGATTGGGGGGTGGGGAGTGCCCAGATCTATCTTATCCCACAGCCTCTCCTGCCTTCCCTCCAGAGATCATCGCCCTCCAGCCCCCTAAGGTCAAGTGGGGCACCAGGGGACAAGAAAGAGGGACCCCTTCCTCAGTGCTTCGGCTTGTAGTTCCCCAGAACTTACTGAGCTGCAGTAGCAGGAACCCCGGGAAGGTGAGTGGTCTCCAACAGCAGCGGCGGCGGCGGCGGCAACAGGAGCGCATCGTCCCAGGGCACGGCAGCGCCGGGAGCCCGCTCCCACCTCAGTCCCAGTGGCTCCAAAGCCCGAGTGCGGAGCCAGCGATCTGGGGCTGGGAAGGCACCACGGTCCCTCCCCTCCCTCTCGGAGCCCCGCCCCTCCTGCTCCTCCCCGCTCCACGCCCCCTTCCACCTGTCTTCTAGCCCGTCGCACCATCCCTCTGGGTCTCTGCTTCCGCTTGTCTATTTCCCAAAGTAACAGAATTGCAGACCCAGGCAGTCTCAGCACCACCCCATGGGATGTCAATACTGCTGCTCCACCGTGCTACAGGACCCATGAGTTGTCAATTGAGAAGGATCCCCAGCCCCATAGATATCAGTACTGTCTCCCACCTCTGGCCCCTCTCAAGGATGTCAATTCTGCTCCCCTCATCCCCCAGCCCCACAGGTGTCAATGTTGCCCCCACTCGATGTCAATTTTGCTCCCCTCACCCAGTTCCATGGATTATCAATGCTGCCCCCCTCTCCTACGGATGTCAATTCTGTTCCCCTCACTCCAGCCCCACAGATGTCAATGCGGTCTGAAAACCAATTCTGCCCCCCTCTGGCAAGACATCTATGCTGGTCCATCACTCCATCTCCACAAGGATGTCGATGTCTCCCCCCACACACATACCTTCCTCTCGTTCACAGAAAACTGGGAGCCTTAAATTAAGTGTGGGGAAGCTCATCGTGGGCATGACTGATTTGCCAGAAGATCGGGTGGCTGCCCCAGCACATTGGAAAATAGGGCAAAGGTACCCTGGGTTCCACCTTCCTGATAACTGGCAAGGGACCAGATACAAGAGGCTGGCCCCAGTTGTCTTAGGAAAAGATGTCTTCTAAACATCCCCATGTAAGTGTGCTAATGTTGCACTGGTCTACGTAAGGATCCAGCTGGGGTAGGGGGTAGTGTGGAGGACAAAGTGAAAGAAGACACAGCCCAAGAGAGTGGAGGGTAGAGACAGCACTGCACTAACTCTGGCTCTGGGACAGCTCCAGGTACCTGCATACCTTAGTTAGCTCTTAAAGAAGCCAGTCCCCCATCTTGGGAGATAACAGCCTGGGTTTGGCCTGCCCTGCCTAAAGGACAGCAGGGAGAGAAATACAGAACATTCTAGCAGAAGTTTTATCTAAAAAGCATTTAATTGAATTTTTGTTCAATGTTTCTCAAAAACAGAAAGATCCAAATTGGAGGTAAAAAGGAACGTGTAAAATTCAACTCAAGTTATAATAGCTGAATCCGGAAACATGCTCCCTAGTTGATGGAGCCGGGGCGGGGGGGGGGAGGGCATGCCCAGATCCCCAACCTCCCTAGTCAGAGCTGGAAGCCACAGCCCCTTAGGCCTGAGGAGCCAACCTGAGGGAAGAGCAAGGAGACCCCTTCTGCTCCAGAGGCATCACCAGAGCTGAACCCCCAAGGTCAGTCATGGTCCTCTGACAGAGGAGGCGCGAGGAGGGGTTGGCAAAGTTCTGGCTTTGGACTTTTCTTTATCACCAAGTTCCAAAGAAACTCAGTGTTCCCTCAGTCCCCAAGGCCTGACGTCATCATAGTTGAGTACTACAACCCCTCCTCCCTCCTCTGCTGGACCACCAAGGTGCCTGTGTCCACCTAGTTGAGCCCAGGGACAGCCAGGCCTTGTAGCATGATGGTGAGACGCCGGGCAGACTTGCTGAGTGAGTTGTGGGGCTCAGCCTGTACGAACTGGAACAGCTTCTGTCGCACCTGGGCCATGACTGAGCCCATATGGTCCCTGGTGATCGGGTCACTGTGGTCCAGGTGCATCACAGCTTCCTCCAAGTAGCTATGGGTGAAGAAGAGATGCTGGATTCACAGGTTAAGGAAGGCTCCCCTTGGCAGTGCCTGGCCTCTGGGATCCCATACATTCTAGGAGCTGTACGGTCCCTTCTGCTGGAAGCCCACAGGCATGTTAACCTTTGCTACAGATTCCCTAGTTTGTTCCTGGGGCAAGGTAAGGAGTCCAGTACACTCTGTTCCTGAGGCAGTGCCCAAACAGGGACCTGCCCTCCACCCCCCATCCTACTATTTTCACTGCTATATTTCCTGCTATATTCACTGACTGACCTGAATTTGAGCTCTGTGCGGGTTCCCAGGTCAGAGGAGAGCTGCTGGATGAGGGAAAGCAGGACAGGCTGGGACAGGGGACAAGGTGGCTGGCCAAACACCTGCTGTGGGTCCACAGTCTCACACACAAAGAGCACCAGGTTCAGGTCAGCTGCTGTCAGGGCCTGAGGAGGCAGGATGGATGGCAAGAAGAGATGAGGAGAAAAGTTTTGAGAGGAGACATGAGGGAAGATATTTGAGGGCAGAACACTGGAGTAGGAAAAAAGGGTCAGGGGGTACCTGGAGATGAGGGAGAACAGGGAGGTGGTGAAAGTGGCAGGTAAAGCAGTGAATGAAGAGGCAGAAGTGGGGAGGAGAGGAACTGAGGAAACAAGAGAGAAGAAAGAGGGAGGGCAGGGGACTGTGCACACACAGGACAGGATACAGGACCAGGAAAAGTGCTGAGGCCCTGAGCTTGCGCAGGTCTTCCTGCTCCCCCTGCTGGCAGACTGCAGCACAGTCCCCAGCCAGGAAAGTACCTGTTGGAAAGCCTGGTTGAGGTGGCCCTGCTGGAGCATCTGCAGGATGTGTGCCTGCTGGGCCTGGCAGTCAAGGTGGGCAGCTGGGATGGGTGTGCCAGCAGCAGAGCGCATTGCCTGCATGATGCTGGAAGTGACAGCTGCCTGCTGCTCCTTCATGGCCAGGCTCACCTCCCCCTTGATGATGCGCTGGACCTGGGAGAGGATTGACTCCTGCATGCTGGGAGAAGAGGAGGAAGGCTGAGGATGAAGGAAGACCCGGGCCACAAACAGTGACCCACAGGACGCCAGCGCGAACCACCTTTAACACTGTCCAGTCCAAATTTCAATTGCACAAAATTAAAAAATTTTTATATAAACAAAATCAATGGAACTAAAATTTGAAGGGAAAGTTAGGAAAAAAATCTTTGCAACAAGTTTCTCTGATGAAGGTCTATTTCCAAGATGTATAAAGAACAGATTCAGATTCAAATTTATAGTAAGAACCTTTTCCCAATGATAAAAGGTAAAAAGAAATAATATAAATAAGCAGTTTTTAGAGGAAGAAATCCAAACCATCAACAGCAATATGAAAAACTGCTCCAGTAACTGAGAGATTCCATCTCACACCCACCAGACTGTCAAAGATGATTAAAAGGAAATGACAAATGCTAGAGGGACTGTGGGAAAACAGGCATATTAACGAATGCAACGTTGACAAAAAGTTACTGAGCAATGCCTTTGACCCAGAGAGGTTAGGGTTACAATCCAAAGACATCAAAGAAAAAAGAAAAGGACCCATCTGTACAAAAATATTTATAGCAGCTCTTTCGGTGTGGCAAAGAACTGGAAAAAGAGCAGATGCCCCTCAAGTGGGGAGTGGCTGAACAAGCTGTGGTTAGATGGATGTGATGGAATACTACTGGGCTGTAAGAAACGACGAAGGGGATGTTCTCAGAGAAGACTGATGCTCGTATGAACTGATTTAGAGTGGAGTAAATGGAACCAAGAGAAAAATGTATAAAGTAACAAAAGCATCACAAAGACAACTCTCACAAACTTAAGACTTCTGGTCAATGAAATGGCCCAGCACAATTCCAGAGCATCCCTGAAGAACTATGCTAAAGAGGTGACACAGAAAGAAAATACCCTTTTGGACATGCTGAATGTAGTGCATTGTTTTGTTTGACTATACAGATTTGTTATAAGCATTTTGGGTTTTTGATTTTGTTTTTAAACTGAAGGCAGGAGAAAGGTGGGAGGGAAAGAAATTAAATGCTTGTTAACTGAAAAAAAAAAAGAGTTAAAAAACATTTAGCCTAAACCTCTCATTTTACAGGTAAGGGAAAGGGGGAGAGGGAATGAGCATTTATTAAGTGATTAATTTACTATGTACCAGGCACTGGGCTAATAAGCACTTTAACATTTTGTAGTTAAGGAAACTGAGGCAGCCAGGGATTAAGTGACTTGCCCAGGGTCATACAGGTAGTAGGCAGCTGAGGCCGCATTTGAACTTAAGTCTTCTCTACTCCAGGCCTAGGGCTCCATCCAGTGGGCCACCAGCTGCCTCTGGAAATCTAAAGAAACTTAAGGCCCAGAGAGGGAACGTGGCAAGTGCCCAAAATGACCCAGCTAGACTTCTCCAGAGTTGGTAGAGGAACAAATGCAAACTTTACTTCCTACCATGCACCACAGACCCCTGGCACTGGCCCCTCCCCTGGTGTCCACTTGCAGGCCCCCTCGGGCCCCATCCAGACCTGGCCATGCCTGTAGGTCACTGAATGACGCGACGTCAGAACCCCTTTTCTCTCTGTGCAGGCTCCTATTCCCGACTTACTTGCTTACGGCAATGTGGAGCTGGTGCTGGACCTCGGCCCGAACGCTGCTGCTCACGGTGGCTGCCATCTGCTCTGTGGCACTCTGCAAGGTGCCCACCAGACCTCGAAGCTGCGCCAGCACCGGCTCTCGAGCTTCCTGCTCTCTCGCCTTCCGACTCTTCATGTGGTTCTCTAACTGCTGCAGGTCTGAGGTTGGGGAGGACAAGAAGGACGGAGAGGGAGCTTGGTTATAACCAAGATGCTGGACTGTGAGGATGCAGATTTTGAATGGGGCTCTGTGGCTGAACAAGAAAGGATCCAGGGAGCTTCCCCTCAGAGCACAGGGCCAGGCTTGGGGGGGAAAGTGAGGACTCCACTCACATTCCTGGGTACCCAGCTTGAAGCTGTCATTGATCTGCTGAAACATGGCTTGGCAGCTCTTCTCAAAAGTGGGCAGCACAATGCTCTGGAAGGCCTCTCGATAGGCAGCCTGCATGGGTCCCTGTAGCGTATCCGCTGCTGCACGGGCGATCGTGTCGGTCAGGTTCTGGGGAAAGCAATGGAGAGCAGGCAGCAGCATGTGAATTCAGGAGCAGAAACAAGGCCCTGATCCCTACCTGCAGATCCACTCGAGGTTCTGAGAAGCCCTGGGACAGGCTCCACACCTTGGACTTGA